TCTGAACCCTCCTCTCTCTCTCTCTCTTCTCCTGTGGCTTCTGAACCCTCCTCTCTCTCTCTCTTCTCCTGTGGCTTCTGAACCCTCCTCTCTCCCTCTCCTCCCGTGGCTTCTGAACCCTCCTCTCTCTCCTCCTGTGGCTTTTGAACTCTCCTCTCCCTCTCCTCCCGTGGCTTCTGAAACCCTCCTCTCCCTCCCTCCTCCCGTGGCTTCTGAACCCTCCTCTCTCTCCTCCTGTGGCTTCTGAACCCTCCTCTCTCTCCTCTCCTCCCGTGGCTTCTGAACCCTCCTCTCTCTCCTCTTGAGGCTTCTGAACCCTCCTCTCTCTCCTCTTGAGGCTTCTGAGCCCTCCTCTTCTCTCTCCTCTAGGTTCTGAACCTCAAGATGTGCGGGGGCTCAGGTGCTAGTTCCCCCACATCAAGCTTCTAAACCTCTGTCCCACAAGGCTTTTCATCTAATCGGGAAGGCGCTTCCGGCATAACAGGGCTAACACCAACCACATAGCAGCTCGCTATCCCATTTGCTATCGCGTGTTATCACCCCCCTTATCACCCCTCTGCTATCGAACCTCATCGCTCGTGCCTCTCTCTCTCTCTCTCTCTCTCTCTCTCTCTCTCTCTCTCTCTCTCTCTCTCTCGTCTCTCTCTCTCTCTCTCTCTCTCTCTCTCTCTCTCTCTCTCTCTCTCTCTCTCTTTCTCACAAGTCAATGCTGGTCCATTGAAAATCGCAGCGTTAAAGACAATAACCAAACGCAATCAGGCAAGGAAAATATCCTCTAGAGTAAATTCTCTAGAGAAAATAAATGAAAAGTGTATATAAATCGTGATTTTTACTGTCCCTGTCCTGCCTGTCCTGTCCTGCCCTCACAGGCAGGACAGGACAGGTTAGACAGTCCGTAACAGCTGTCTAACTTCCAGGTACCTATTTACAGCTAGGTAACAGGGGCATCAAAATGAAAGGAACTCTGCCCATTTATCTGTGCCTGGTGCGGGAATCTAACGCGTGTCACAGGATGACGAGTCCAGCGCGCTGTCCACTCAGTTACTTGGGTGTCCTGGGTGTCTGCATCTTTCTGTTTTAATTATTCTTATTCTTACGTTTATCAATATTATTTTTATTTATTATTATAATACTACTGTTACTATTCTCTAGATATGGAAGAGCTTAGCGTGGTATCGTTTGTGACCTGCGAGGGTACCAAGATGGTACTCTCAGGGTATCGTGTAAGGTGGTGCCCTCCGGGTATCGTGTTCTGTGAGGCAACCCATATCTCCAGGCCCACACGCTGCTGGATTCAGATATCGCAACCTGGGTTCTCTTACCACCAAAACAGATAACACAACGTTGTGGAGAGGAGAGGCGCCATAGGCACACTCAGAGGACACTGTATGACATCAGAGGTGCCATAGGTACACTCAGAGAACACTATGATATCAGAGGTGCCAAAGATACACTCTCAAGGAACACTGTATGTACTTCAGAGGTTCATAGCTATGCATTATTAATAAAAGGTAAATGCACTTTCCTTATTTCTAAAACATAATGGCGATATGAAGTCTGAAGGAAACGGACTGATAAATGGCTTGTTGATGGATGTGTCGAGAGGCACACGATGATAATGGGGAGATTACACGAGGGAGGTGAGGAGGCTGGCGGGTGAGATCTCTAATATCTCCTGAGCCATCTCACAGGATGCTGTGGGGAGAGAGGGATAGGGAGGGAGAGGTTTAAGGGGTGGGGGGGGGGGGGGATTTTGGAGATGGGGAGGAGGTATGGGAGAGGGGCGTTGGGAGGAGATTAGGAGATGGGGATGGGACTAGAAGGTGTTTAGAGGATGAGAGATGAACGAGGGAGAGAGAGAGAGAGAGAGAGAGAGAGAGAGAGAGAGAGAGAGAGAGAGAGAGAGAGAGAGAGAGAGAGAGAGAGAGAGAGAGAGAGAGACTCAGAGACACAGACAAAGAGAGGCAGCAACCGAAAAAAGATAAAAAAAGTAAAAGAGAGAGAGTGAGAATGCATTTAAGAAATGTAATAAAATAAAGGAATATTTGAATCAACCAGATCATACAACAGATCAATTTAACTTCCCCATCCCCAATCTCCCTCCCTCTCCCCATCTTTACACATCCCTTCACAGTCTCCGTCTCCCCATCTTCCCTACCTCCCCCCCATCACCTCCCTATCCTCCCCCCCATCACCCCACCCGTCCCCGCGCTTCTGTGTACTTCCGACCCTTATCTCCTTATCTACAGCTGCCACGTGTCAAGCTGTGATAGGCACACACTGGCCGAGATTATCACTACGCGGCCGAAAATGGCCGATTGAGGTTAAATGTCGGATTGCTGCCACCCTTCCCGTGACCTGTGTCCCTGTATCCGTGACCTGTATCCCTGTACATGTGACCTGTGTCCCTGTACCCGTGACCCGTGTCCCTGTATCCGTAATCTGTGTCCTATTGCAAGTTTGTTGAGTCTCTGAAGCCACACACACAGTTAACACTCACGCTATGAAGTTTGTAGTAGAGGCCGCAGGCGTTGCAGACGGGTTCACCGTTCTGGTTCCGTCTCCAGAGAGTAGTGGTTGTGGTCTTACAGTTGGCGCAGCTGGTGCCTGCCCTCCGCTGGGCCGACTGTGGGAGGTGAGAAACGCTAATTAGTTAATCGCTCAGTCAACCATCTTAGTATAATTGATCAGTGACAACACCACTAAGGGTCCAGCTGGACTTTTAACTGATATATAGTTATAGCTGGGAATAATTAGTGTAATTGAACAGTTTAATGACCCATTGGGTCTAGTGGGTACAATTACTCAGTTAAATGCCCATTGGGTCCTGCTGGCGAAGGGCCTCTTAATGAACAAAGGGTTTGGGTAGTAGAGTTGGGTTTGTTCTAGACTCACAATCAGGAACCCCGGGTTCGAGTCCAGGGCGAGACAGGAGTGGTTAGGCACGTTTTCTATCAACTTGCATGCCACTGTTCACCTAGCAGTAAATAGGTATATCTGGGAGTCAGTCAGTCAGTAGATCGACCTTGGGGTGGGGGGGGGGAGGGAGGGAGCGAGATATCAGAAGAAAGCGCCAAGCCATTATGACTACATCGCACAAAAAAAGCACAAAGCCACAACACACATCTTAAACACACACACACAAACACCACACACACCACACAACACACACACACACACACACCACACACCACACACACACACACAGAGTTGACGTGACGAAGTCTATAGCCCAGATGGAATCTCCCCTTGGGTTCTAAAGGAAGGAGCAAGAGAAACTGAGCCTACCACTCTCCATAGTGTATAACAAATCACTGGCAACAGGGGAACTGCCAGATACTTGGAAAGCAGCTAACGTAGTCCCGATATACAAGAAAGGGGATAGACAGGAGGCACTGCTACAGGCCAGTGTCCCTAACCTGCATACCATGCAAGCTGATGGAGAAGATTGTGCGAAAAAAAACTAGTGGAGCATCTGGAGCGAAGGAACTTTGTAACACAGCATCAACATGGGTTCAGGGATGGCAGGTCCTGCCTCACAGGGTTACTTTGAATTCTACGACCAGGCAACAAAATAAGGCAAGAAAGAGAAGGGTGGGCAGACTGCATATTTTTTGGATTGTCAGAAAGCCTTTGATACAGTGCCACACAAGAGGCTAGTGCGAAATTTGGAGATGCAGGCTGGAGTGAGAGGGAAGGTACTCCGGTGGATAGAGGAATACCTAAGCAACAGGAGGACAACGAGTCTGTGTGAGGGGTGAGGTCTCAGATTGGCGAGACGTCACAAGTGGAGTTCCCGCAGGGGTCAGTCCTTGGACCTATACTGTTTCTGGTATATGTAAATGATCTCCCAGAGGGTATAGATTCGTTCCTCTCAATGTTTGCCGACGATGCAAAAATTATGAGGAGGATTGAAACAGAGGATGATAGTAGGAGGCTACAAGATGACCTGGATAGACTGAGTGAATGGTCCAACAAATGGCTGTTGAAGTTCAACCCGAGTAAATGCAAAGTAATGAAACTAGGCAGTGGAAACAGGAGGCCAGGCACAGGATACAGAATAGGAGATGAAGTACTTAATGAAACAGACAGAGAGAAAGATCTAGGAGTTGATATCACACCAAACCTGTCTCCTGAAGCCCACATAAAGAGAATAACGTCTGCGGCATATGCGAGGCTGGCTAACATCAGAACGGCGTTCAGGAACCTGTGTAAGGAATCATTCAGAATCTTGTACACCACATATGTAAGACCAATCCTGGAGTATGCGGCCCCAGCATGGAGCCCGTACCTTGTCAAGCACAAGACGAAGCTGGAAAAAGTCCAAAGGTATGCTACTAGACTAGTCCCAGAACTAAGAGGCATGAGTTATGAGGAAAGGCTGCGGGAAATGCACCTCACGACACTGGAAGACAGAAGAGTAAGGGGGACATGATCACAACCTACAAAATCCTCAGGGGAATCGACCGGGTAAACAAGGATGAACTATTCAACACTGGTGGGACGCGAACAAGGGGACACAGGTGGAAGCTGAGTACCCAAATGAGCCACAGAGACGTTAGAAAGAACTTTTTCAGTGTCAGAGTAGTTAGTAAATGGAATGCATTAGGAAGTGATGTGGTGGAGGCTGACTCCATACACAGTTTCAAATGTAGATATGATAGAGCCCAATAGGCTCAGGAATCTGTACACCAGTTGATTGACGGTTGAGAGGCGGGACCAAAGAGCCAGAGCTCAACCCCCGCAAGCACAATTAGGTGAGTACAATTAGGTGAGTAACACACACACACACGCTCGTACATACGAAATAATATACTCATACTAAAACAAACAACACACACATAAGCGTCAGCATATAACCAGAAAAAAAACACACACACGCAAGCTTTAACGCATACTTAACAAAACCCACGTACAGGTGACAACACATAAGAAAAACACACACATGAAAGCGTGTACACATGAAACAGATTGTGCCTCTTTCCTTGTACACATTCGATACTTTTTCACCAGTTGGTGCTTCCTCCACTTTATGCAACCCTGTCCTCCGAAACTCACTTTCCTTCCCGCTACTCGAGATCAAAACACACACACACACACACACACACACACACACACACACACACACACACACACACACACACACACCACACACACATACACACACACACACACACACACACACACACACACACACCACACACCACACACACACACCACACACACACTCACACGCACATACACACATACACACGGGCGCGTTGAAAATACCTATTGGTTTAAAACAATAACAGAAATGTCATTGTTCTACACGTGTGGTCTGAAGAAGTCTGTAAACATCGTGAGAGGTGTGTGTGTGTGAGTGTGTGTGGTGTGTGTGTGTGTGAGTGTGTGTGTGTGTGTGTGTGTGTGGTGTGTGTGTGTGTGTGTGTGTGTGTGTGTGTGTGTGTGTGTGTTGTGTGTGTGTGTGTGTGTGGGAACATTTGGGAGGCCGAGAGAATGTCAGGTCATTGTGGGAGACAGTGGAGGAGAGAGCCCATGCGCTCTAATAGCTTCTTGGCACTCCTAGTGGTTCCTGAAGGGAGGGAGTGAGAGAAGGAAGGAGATATGTGCGGGGAGGAGAGAATGTTGGAAGGAAGAGGGAGAAAGAGAGAGAGAGAGAGAGAGAGAGAGAGAGAGAGAGAGAGAGAGAGAGAGAGATGAGAGAGGAGAGGAGAGAGAGAGGAGTGAGAGAGCGAGAGAGAGAGGGAGAGAGATGAGAGAGAGAGAGACGAGAGAGAGAGAGAGAGAGAGAGAGGAGAGGAGAGAGAGAGAGAGAGAGAGAATGTGTAGGAGTCAGCCCGAGCGAGAAGGTGGCAGAGGTGCCAAGGGTTATGTAGCACTGTTGAAGAGGTTACAGCGGAGTGGAGGATCTGAGTGTCCAGTCACATTCTCACTGAATCTGCTTAAGTGGAGAGAGTCTGCTCACAACTGGCTCGGCCAGGATGAAACGTTAGAGCACGTTTCGTTCGACCTGGTGAACATGTTCACCGAGCTTAGGTACCCACGAGTTAGTTGTCTATTAAAGGTTGTTGTGTCATGAGAAAAAGCCCGTCTTTGGCTAGGAATATTTCGACAATTGCAAACCGACTTATTATCGTATGAGATGTTGTTGTTAAAGATTCGCTACTTGGAACAAAAAGTTCCAAGTAGCACGGGCTATGGTGAGCCCGTAGTGTGTGTGGTAATGTGTGTGTGTGTATGTGTGTATCGTATGAGAGCTAAGACCCTTCTTATGTTTTGAGACTGCAGAGCAGTCGACCGAATTTCAGACAGAAATGTACGATCTTATGCAGCAGAGGGTAGGACTTCTATTACCTTGTTAGATGCATAGGAACACAGTATTTGGGTATATATATATATATATATATATATATATATATATATATATATATATATATATATATATATATATATATATATATATATATATTGGACATGTCTTCTGTGTTGGCATCGAATATGTTCTTGTCTTGTCCGTGTACTATCATGTGTGGTAGAGTGATACTCTACCACTCTACCCACCATGAGGTTAAGGACAAGACAAGAATATATATATATATATAATATATTATAATATAATATATATATATATATATAGATATATATTATATATATATTATATAATATACGTATATGACTACGTTCAGCTTGTTCAGCTTATACGATAAGTGTGTTATCATGTATAAGCCTTCGGTGTAGTCATATCACACATGCATATTAATCAACAGACGATAGACGATTTATGGAGCTGGGGTCTTTAACGTTGGAATATGTCGCAATGAACATCCATTACCCTTAATCAAATTCCATTATGCTTTATTAAATGCCATTATACGACATCAAACTCTTTTTACCATAATATCAAACGATATTATTCGGCCAAATATAGAATCAAACTCAGTCAGAATGCTGGATTAAACTATATTATGCTGCAATAATTCCACTACAATGCTCTCTGGATTTCATAACATTTCGCTGGATCATATATCAATCACGTTGGTCTGTAGCTACTTTACTGCTGTTTTCCTTAAAGGATCGTTCTCAAAGGGTCGTTCTCCACTGAACGCGTGATCCTGTGGTCCCGGGTTCGATCCCAGGCGCCGGCGAGAGACAATTGACAGAGTTTCTTTCATCCTGATGCCCCTAGGTATAGGGGCATCAGGTACCTGGTAGGTACTAGGTATAGGTAATAAATAGGTACCTGGGAGTTAGTCAGCTGCTACGGGCTGCTTCCTGGGGGTGGAGGCCTGGTCGAGGACCGGGCGGCGGCGGCACTAAGCCCCGAAATCATCTCACGAAAACCTCAAGATAACACCGTCAAAAGTCACATTTAAGAGTCACATGTGAAGCGACCATAATCACGAAACCTAGAAGTAGCCACGAACAAGCGCATTTTTAAGTCCACTACGGGCTCACCATAGCCCGTGCTACTTGCCCCCGCTCCTGTGCCAGGTAAGTCCACTACGGGCTCACCATAGCCTGTGCTACTTGCCCCCGCTCCTGTGCCAGGTAAGTCCACTACGGGCTCACCATAGCCCGTGCTACTTGGTACATTTTGTTCCAGGTAGCGAATCTTAAACAGCA